GTGTGTGTGTGTGTGTGTGTGTGTATACTTATGACGCGTTAGTTGAAATGCCAATGGTTGAGAATAAAAAAACAGTATGTAATTAACGTTCGTACACTGTTGCTCACGAAAATAAGTTTGTCCTGCTTATTATTCCAAAATAAGCGAAAGTGAATATTGTAAAAAGTATGTACAATTTTTTTTTACACACAAATTGTACAATTGTAATTTAGTGACTAATTACTTATATGCTGTTTAAAGTTCTGCACTTTCTTACATTATCCCAAAGAAAAAAAAGCGGTGTAGCATTTTCTCGATAATAAACGTTATGTCGTCGACAATACAATCATTTCAATTATTCAAGGCACTCGTTCACGCTTACGTTCTTAATGCTTTACACACTTCATGAGGTGTGACGCTTCGTCTGGATTCGCGGAATTGATACTTTACGCACGTCATCTGGAAAAAAATGTGCTTTGAACCGCATTTATCGAGTGTCTAAATTTATAATTCGACCTTCCTCGTCTGGCGATACCACTTCAAGTTTGTCAACAAACGACGCCGTTTACGAACGTATATTTACCTCTCCTATTAGTGTTATTAGAAAAGACCACACCCAAGTGCACCCCTGGTCATCAACCCCATAAGCAAGTCCCTTCGTCTCGTTCGTAGGGATGCACTTAAAGCGTTAAAGCACGCAATGGACTGCGTGATCCGCGCTTCAATGGAGATATATATCGCTCATGAAATCAATTAGAAACGAGCGCATAATAGTCTTTTGGTCTCTCTAAAGGTCTGTACACACAGAGCGAACGAACAAGGAACGAATAGCGAATGCAAATATTCGTTATTACAATGCGGAAAATGTGTACATAATAACGAATTTGAACAGAACGTTTCGGATCGATTTGCTCATAAGATAGTTTTACTAAAAAACGTGCGCGTTTATACGCAATATAAATATTACATATTCGCTGTTCGTTCGTTGTTCGTTCGCTCAGTGTGAACTCGCCTTATATAACAAGTTCTTATTATCGATCTAGTTGAGCTTGAATTTTGTAGAGAGTCGTTTCTCTTCGTTTTCGCCACTTTTCCATTTTTATTAGATTCATTCTCGAATCTTTTTGCGCGAAAAAATGCCGCATCGATAATGAATACATAAAATGTGTAATTAAAAAATTTGGATTTTACTTTCTCGAATATATTTTGTCTTTTATTTTACCGATAAACATTGAATTATCATTTGTACGAATAATAAACGCACGAGCATTGTAATTTATGCACGATAGAATCGAAACGTAGCGCAAACTAAAATACTTCAGCGAAACTTTGCTCGAATCGCGAACTAAAACGGTAAACGATTTATTTTGACACGCCAAACGAAATTCACACGCGTAGCTTCATTCGTTGGTTTATTTTAAGAGAAAGCAACGGCAAGACGGATACACCAGGAATGATTCGTTGAAAGTCGTGCTCTTTCCTTTGTAACGAATTGTTATTTTTATCAGTCGATGCGGTCGATTGCGAAAGATTAAAGAATCGCGCATGCACGACGCAACGAGCACTTTTGATTTATAGCAGGGGACATTACGGCGATTCTTTCGTTCTCTAATCGGCCGATAGGCTCACGCCTTCTCTCATTTGTATTCCTCGCGCGTCCGTAGGACGTAATAATAATCTCCCTTTCTCGAAGGAATGCCGGATGAAAGCGGATGTAACAATACGAGCATAATATCGGGCGCGCAATGGCGATTACGTGCGCAAGCACGTCGGACGAGTTCCACGACGCGAGTTGGCTTTGCTTTTCTGCGCCAACTGATTCAGACCGGACGATTCGGAATCCGATAGAGACTCGCGGAGATCGTAAATACGAAAAGTGCCAAGCTGAGAGATACGTGCCCGTACATACCTCCTAGCTTTTCACCTTCCGCGTAACTTCATTGCACTCACGCATATACGGTTACAACACACGCTATCGTAATAACGAGTTTGTGCACATTTCTTTTTTTTTACCGAAGAAAATTATACTTCGTTCCTTAATTCTCAGTTAAGCGACTTTCCATTATTTTAAAACGGCCTGCAGTGAATTTATTAATGAGGCTGTCAAGTTCTCAGATTCTTTTTGATGTTGAATTAAAAATGTAGATTTACTCCATACCTTGCTGTGTATTATCTTCAAACCAAGACGCGTAGCTGAATTAATACCTAGCATTTCCGATTTCATATTGAAACGAAGAATTTAGATAATTTATTTTACGTGTTACGATAAGTTCACGAGTTTTTCGCGCATCTTGAAGAGCGGGGAGTTTCTGCATATTCCGGAAATTTTCAACGTTCTCGCTCGTTCTTTTTCTTTCCGCTTTCGCTTCATTGAGCGTTATCGAGGCGTTTTGATTAAGAAGAGTGAAAGCGCTCGGTCGCTGGCTGGTCAAAAGGTCGTAACGTTAAGAACGATTTACGGTAACTCCAGTTCGACCGAGAGATAATCTCCGGGCCGACAGCGCATACATACTACTGTCGACAAACGAAACGGACACGGGGACAAATGGACGTGGCACACAGGATACAGGCCCACGCGAATGCACTCTCTTCGCCTCCCACGGTCTTTACCTCGACGCGGAGAGCGCGACGTGACGCCGACTGTGCGTGGTACGTAGGTGAAGACGTTGCGAATCAGCTGGATATCCCTCAATACGGCGAACCTGGTCGAAAAAGGCTACACTTTTTGACCCGGAGCTCGCGCTGACCCAAATAAAGCGCGTCTCGCCGAAAGCGAAGTCACTCCCAGAGTCGTGTATAACGCATACGTTTACACCGTAATCAATTTACGCTAATGCCGCATAACACTGAGACAAAGAGAGGGAAAGAGAGAGAGAGAGAGAGAGAGAGAGACAGCCGTTCGGCTGTTCCATCGATTTAATAACAAATTAAGATGCTCACGGAGAAAAATTTTTTGCTGGCACAGCAAATCGTCTGTTATTATAGCGGTCGTAAAACGATTTGCTTGGACAGCAAAAGATTTGTTAAGAATATTAATTGCTAATTGTATCAATTAAATTTTATTGCCGTCGCAACGACATTTTGCTACAACAGCTAAATTATTTTTTCCATATAACAAATCCTTTTACTGCCATTATGATAAGAAATAATTTGCTGTACCAGGAAAAAAATTTTCCCCGTACGTTAATTACGATTTTTGTTACGAATGAAAGATTTAGACTTGTACGTTTTGAATACACATTGTGCTAGACCCGCGTTGGATGAGAAAGTTGTTACACTTTTTTTTTTGGATAAGTTTCGGAACGCATCCCGTGTCCAATAGGAGAATTTGTTTCTTAGTTGTTCTCAGGAGATACATTTTCCTATTGGATACGAGACACGTTGCGAAATTTATTAAAAGAAAAGTATAACAACCTTTCTGTCCACCGCCGTACACCCGTACATACCGCACTTTCAACATGATAATATCATGTACACTGCTCGACGAGAAAACTTTCGTAATATCCGCTTGATATCAAACATTTTCTAGATTTTTGTCGACGTAAGCTCTCTCTCTCTCTCTCTCTCGGCGTATAAAGTGACCGGACGACGGCGACACGCGCCCCTCTGGGTTTAATTTCAGTACGACAGGCGAAATTTAACGAGCCGACACGACGATGCGCATTTTTTTCGGATTGAATCAAAAACTGCATCGCCTTACTTTCGATATTCGTATCTTGCTCGTGTATCGCGAAAGTCTGCGAAGGTGGGGAAAGCCGTAATGAACATGTGCTGGGCAGAGAGAGAGAGAGAGAGAGAGAGAGCGAACGCAAGAAAGTATACCGTAATTAATACTTATCAAGAACATCTTGACAACGTCTCCGAAAAATGATCTTCCGATCGGGTAAGGAGACCGATGAACTCTTCAATGTAGCTTGCGCATTTTTTCCCGCGCCCTGTGTACTCTTATCGTTATCATCGTCGCAGCGTTCCGAGACATTTTGTTGCCATCGTCAGACGCGATCTCGCTACCTCCGCTACAACGCTGCACACCGAGGAGAACGCGGCGACGCAGCGCGTATAAACTCGCGTGTCGGTGAACCCGGTGCCGCGAACATAATCGCGGTCTCGGCCTCCCCGCGCGTACACGTGTGTACGTGCATGCGCGCGCGTGCGTATGCCGCAATAAACCGCGTACATATATTATGGCAGTTTCCTTTTCACGAGGACCACCTAGACGGGCCGTGACCACGGCCGACGATGATCTAACCGGATTCGACGCTGCGAGAATCTACGTGCTCGCACACACACGCACACGTACGCACGCACGCACACACTCGCGGCCGTACGCGGCTATCATTCCCGGATAGCGAGCGGATAAATGAGACACGAGCAGACACGGGCAAGGGTGTGTGCGTGCGTGCGTCTGTGTTACAGACCTTTCGAAATCCCTTTATGAGCGCCGATTCGCGTGACGAAGACCGCACTTCGCGTGCGCGCTCCCCGCTCGCCGGGCGTATTAAATGGTAACGCTGTACACGATCGACTGTGAGTGCCTCGCCGGGGAAAATACACGTTACACCGTAAGATCGATCGTGCGGCGGGACGGAAACACGTGGTGCGAAAAGCGAAGCCGGCGTGGGTCTCGAGAATCAAGTGCGAGAATAAGCGCTTCGCCTCTTAACATCGAACGAATTATGACGTTCAAATGACAAGAGTCTTGTCCGTTTATCGACTCGCGTTGTTATTCAATTTCTGTCAAACAGGATTCTTTCCAAGACGCTGAGTCTCAAAGTTTGAAGGGATCTCAATTAACCCTGCTGTATGTTCTGCTCGGGTCTACTCGACCCGAAATCATTTTTATTTCCCTGTTACATTCTCACGTGATCTTATGTGACTTCAGTGAGCGTTCTGG